CCATTTTATGGAGTATAGTTAACCTCTTTCTCTAGCTTCCTTATTGCTAATAGCCCCATAAACAAAGTGGTCATGTTTATGGGAGGCCTAGCAACGTGGACCTGCATTCACATACATTCACCAACTATTAGAGCCACTACCAAGTGCTGCAGCAGAGAGCAACACTCAGTCCCCTAAAAGGTACCTTTCCATGGGGTGACAGCCAACTGCCAGGCAAATACTGATTATACTGAATCACTTCCAGCGTGAAAGGACAGCATTTCATTCTTCTTCTGGAATCTGTCTTCCTTGCATGCAATGCTTCGGACAAAACTGCCTTCCTTCCTTCCTTCCTTTATGATCATAGTAATCCACATGATCAGCTTTGCTTCTGACCACAGGGCTCACTTCACAGCCAATGATGTGACAATGGACCTATGGCCAGTGCTTAATTGATCTTATCATGTTTCCTATAATCCTGAAGTCACTGGCATGATAGAAGAGAGGAATGATGTTTAGAAAACTTAGGCCTGGTGTGGGGGTGCACACCTGTAATCCCAGCACTTAGGAGGCTGAAGCAGGAAGATCACTTCAAGTTTGAGGCCAGCCGGAGCTACAAAGTGAATTCAAGTCCAGCCTGAACTGCATAGCAAGACCTCATCAGAAAAAAAAAAAAAAAAAAAAAAAAAAACCTCAAGTAGCACCAGCTAGGATCAGTGCCTTAAAGGACTAGGGCAGGGCATTGCCAACTATGGTGCCATCTCTCCCATAGTTGGTCCAGGAATCAGCAGTGAAAACGGAAGTGGAATCAGTCGCTATTGCCACTTGTGGATCACTGAAAACCTTTGCGCTCTGTTGGAGATGCTATGCTCTGTTTGTCTAGCGGTCTTGGTGCCAAGGAAAGAATGCATCCTTTAGGAGACAGTAGTGATCCCCTTGAACTAGAAGTTGAGACTACCACCCACCCAGCCACCTGAGGTTCCTCAGGCCTCTGAGTCATAGGACAAAGGAGGGAGTTATTGTAGGGTATTTGTGGAATTGTTTGCATGATGATGATGATTATTTATTTATTTGGTTGTTGCAGGGTCTCACTCGGCAGCTCGGACTCATGGTGATCCTCCTGTTTTCAGCTTCCCCAGCACTGGGATTACAGGCGTGCACCACTATGCCTGGACTCCGGCAGGCTCAGCCCACCCTGGGGGCTGGGCTGATGCAGGACGTGGTGCTGGGGATCACCTGCACTTGCCTAAGCGGGCGCTTTGGTCCACTGAGCAGTCTGGTTGGTCCTATTGGTGGAATTGAATTGTTAATCCTGTTTACCAAGAAAAGCTGAGCTGCTTCTATGTAATAGAGGCTGAGTGCTTCACATTCTCTCTTGCTGTCACCATATCCTATCATTGAAGTTGGCAAAAGACTACAACAAAGTTCAGGAAAAGGACTGGGTGACCCTGTCAGGCTCGGAACCGCAACCCACCAAGATGCTTACTGACAGCAAAAGAAAGATTAATAAGGGAAGAAGGCAACTATAAATACCAGGGGCAGCCACATGATCAGTTTCAGAATTCAGAATTTGGTTTTTTCCCTGTTGTTTCTTTTTATCTAAACTAAGATGTATAGACATATAGATGGATGGATAGATAGATATTTGATATAGGGTTTCACTCTGCAGATCGGACTTGTGGTAATCCTCCTGTCTCAGCCTCCCTAGTGCTGTGATTACAGGTATGTACCATCACACCCAGTTTCGGGGCAGACATGGCACACCCAGGGTTCCAAAGCCAGATGGCATGTGATACCAGGGATGGAAACCAGGTCCTAGTGTTTGCCAGGAGGTGCTTAGACCACCATCTCCCCAGCCTAAACTAAGATATATTGATAATATTCAATAATGGTTAACTTACCACAACAAGCTGCAGGATATCAAAACTAGAGAATACAACCCAAATATTCTGCATTCCCTTCTGGTGGAAAGTGGTTTTGATTGGATGAAATATTATTCTATCATATTAGGAGGAAGTAAGATCTTGTTATTGTCTTTACCTGGAAAGCCAGGAGCAAAGGCACACACCTGGAACCCTAGCTACTCAGGATACTGAGGCAGGAGGATCCCAATTTTGAGGCCAGCTCAGGCAACTAAGTGAGACTCTCACCTCAAATATTTTTGTGAGGGGGAGGCTTTGGGGGGTGGGTGTTTGTTTTGAGACAGGGTCTTGCTAAGCTGTTTAGGCTGGACTTAGACTCACGATGTAGCCAAGGTTAGCCTTGAACTCACAGCGATACTCCTGCCTCAGCCTCCCCCAAATGTTAGGATTACAGGGGTTTGGGCTGGGAAGATAGCTCAGTAAAATAAGTGCTTGCCTGGCAAGCACAAGGCCCTGAGTTCAATCCCCTGTACCACAACAACAAAAAGGACTACAGGGGTGTGCCACCATGCTTGTCTTTTCAAATAAAATTTTTAAAAATAATTGAGAATGTAGTAAGTGATAGATCACTTGCTTAGCGAGTACAAATATGAGAGGGAGAGACAGAGTCAAATTAACAAAGGGTGGCCTATGACAGTGAGTTCACATGTCAGTGTAGTTAGTCCTCAGTTATTAAACCAAACACTAACCTAGTATTTCACATTGCCATGAAGTATTTTGCAGAAGTGATTTATATGACACTGCCCTGGATAACCTAGATGGGCCTGACTCCATCCACTGAAAGCCCTTAGCAACACAACCGAGGTTCCTTGGAGAAGGAATTCCACCTGAGGCCTGAGCTTCCACTCCTCCCAAGTTCTAGCCTGCCTTTTAGGATGGCTGCAGTTCACAATGAAGATCCTGGGAGTCCGTGGAGCAGCCCACATGTTAAATAAATTCAGTGTAAAAGGAGCAGATGGTGACAACTTAAGAAACGAAGGTGATTTGTGAATCTCAAGGAAAGCAGAGGAAGTGATTCTGAGTTGGAAGCTTGGCACATGCCATTCTTTCCAGTAGGAATTCTCCTCTGATCTTTGTTTTGTTTTTTAGCAACAGGGTCTTACTATGTAGTTTGAGCTGGCCTTGAACTCTCAATGATCCTTCTGTCTCAGCCTCCCAAGTGTGGAGATACCGACGTGCACTACCATGCCTGACTCCTCTCACAACTGTTCTGTATTTCAGACAAGTGCTTATTCTACTGAGCTATCTCCCCGGCCTGTTCAGTATTTCAGATGTCCACTCCAAGGCCCAAAACCACTCCTCTCAACCCATGGGCCAGGACTCCTAGCACCCTGGGGTTTTCCACAGAGCATCATGTGACATGCTAGGGATTATTTGTCATACTTCCTCAGAAGCCTTTTCCAGTAGTTTGGCACTCAATTGTTAGCACCCCAGCAGGTCACTGTCATACCATAGTCATTAAATGAGGCACTGTCTTAAAGGTACTGCCTTTAGGGCTGGGCAGATGGCTCAGTGGAATAAGCACTTCCCTGGCAAGCGCAAGAGCTTGAGTTCAATCCCTGGTTCCACAAATAAAATACAATAAAATAAACAAAGATACTGCCTTTGGGTAACATTCTCTGGACAAAACCTGCTGCTAGCTAGCAAGGCAGAAATGGGACCACCTGAGTCAGGTGTTGTGGTGCATGCCTGGAAAACCAGCACTTGAGAGGCTGAGGCAGGAGAATCATTGCAAGTTCGAGACCAGCCTGGGCTACAAAATGAGCTCAAGGCCAGCCTGAATTACATAGGGAGATCCAGCCTCAAAAAAAAAAAAAAAAGTAAAAGAAACAAAAAAGACCAACTGTCATCAACTATCATTTTCTAGTTAATAAGAAAATAGTGAGGTATGTCCCTAATGGCTTAAACTAACAGATACAAAACAATTCTCACCCAAACTATTCCCGATCACCAGAAAAACTTCAAATTCAGCAGATTGCTCTTTCAGTCATTTATTCCTTTATTTACAGTTTGTGTTCAATGCAAATCAATTCCATAACATGAGGAGTTACTATGAATCAAAGCATAAATACACAAACACAATATACAATCCAAACAGATGTGCAGCATTCAGATAGGAAGCAAAAGGGCGTGTTCATTCACACACACAGTAGCTTCAGACCTATTGATCTGGTTGTTCCCATGTAGACTTCTAAAGATGGGAAAGAAATGACTTGGATTATACAGAGACTAATGTGGTCCTAGTAGATACCGGAACATGTAAGCATCAGTGTGTGACCATGCGAACAAAGAGTTGAGGGTGTCTTTTTTAAAAAAGGTTTCTGTGTATTGAGGCAGTTATAAAAGACTTACAGCAAAAATCAAGGCTTAGGACCAGTTCTAACTACCTAAAATATTGGCTGATAACAGAACATGTTCCAAATGTGGCTAGTGTGATCCACAATTTAAAAAAAAAAAAAAAAGTATTTACAGAAAAAGTATAAAAGTTTATGCAACTTCAATGCAAGTTAGCTTCCAGCCTTCATGTCCCAAAATTATTTACTTTTGGCTCCTGGGCATATTTGCCTTTCTAGTTTCAAGATCTGTAATTTTATCTTCAAAACAGACTATTTTTAACTGTAAAAAGTATTCAACATATACAGAAATTTAAAAAACAGTATTTTGGAATTAGTTGAGGTCAATATGAGGCTACTCTTTGGAATCAGTTTAGCTAAATGAATCTGGTGTTTCTGTTGAAAGTGGGAGAGTGCCTACCATTTCACTTTGGAAAGATTTACTCTCGATGTTTTGATTTCGAGGCGGGTTCCAGTCTTTTAGTCAATTAATATGTAAAAAGTCAAATGTAATGTCATATCCAAAGCCACAGAGGGCAGAAAGAAAGAGTTCAGTTGCCAAGAAAACAGTGATAGCTGAACAATGCAAAACTTTACCTAGAGGCTATCAGCATTAAATTAGCACTGCTGAAAAGACACATGGAGGGGTTACAGGAACGCCTGGTAGATCATCCTAATGTACATATAAATAGCATATGGAAGCTTTTTATATTATCTAACTGTTTTATGGCCTTAGAGATTTAATAAACCAAATGAAAACTGAATCTCCATTCCACATCCCATCTTTTATTTCTAGATAAAATCTATTCTTGTTGTCAAGGTAGAGTTTTAAGCATCCATTTTTCTTAAGCCATAACCGAGGAAATCATGGTTAGTCTTGGAGGTTCTCTCTCTTCATCTTGTACCAAAAAAAAAATCCAGCAGATTTAATATCGGCATTCATCATCTGTCAATCCCTTCACACGTCCTTGAAATGAATCAAATTTGGAATTCTCAGCATTTTCTGCATCAATAAAATAAGGTGTGGAATTAGATTTCTTCCTCGTCACACTGGACTTGTAGTCGCCATTTGGACTGGGTTTACAAGATGGGGAAGTAGAGACGTTTCTTGGCCAGAGTCTCTAACAGTACAGATGTAGAAGAGAAATTGAGACCACAAGAAGGCTGGCTGTTGACTGCAGGGCACCACTGTCTGCCTTCGTGGTGGCATTAGTTGGATGTGGGATAGTAGAGGTGTTCTGGGAGGTGTTACCTGAAGGTGGCACGGCAACGGTTTGGTTTGAATAAATCTAAAATACACAAAAAGTTACCGATAAATTTCTACAGATGTCACAGCTAGCTCCATCAACACTCTACAATAAAGATACTCAATCATTTCTTCATTCATTCATTCATTTGCTAATCAGAAGTTTTACCACTGTGCTACACCCAGTGGTATACACCCTGGCTGTGCTTGTGAGATTGCTTTCCCTCATTGTTCTTTTTACCCCTATGATTAAATTCTGAATCCCTGCTCTGTCCCAAGGCCATTTTCTTTAATTTAAAAACTGCTCATACATGTCTAAAAATACAAGTAGCAACAAAAATAAAAACAAAGTTTCAATATTTATATAATTCCCAAGAGTACACTATTTTTAATCTTATACAAAGAAATTGAAAGCCAAGTTTACTAATTCAGTTTTTGAGATCTATAGGCTTATTGCTTTAATGTTGTCTCTAGATTCCTAGAAAGAGGGACATTTGAAAGTTACATTAAAAATTTAGACTTTAAGATATTATACTTAAGATTTATAGTACTAGAAATAATTGGTCCCTGTCTACCCAGATACGCTAAGTAACCCTCACAAACTCATTTCATACAGCCCGGGTAGCTTACTTTTGCCCTTAAAGGGGGAGGTAGGGGGTTCATTGGGTATTTTATCTGTTCCTTTGAAATCTGAAAATTGTAACTGTTCACCAAAATGGTCACAGTATTTGTTTTAAATTGGAAAACATAATTCAATTCTTGCTTTGGTACAAAAAGACTTCACTCAAAGCACCATCTATTCAGAATGACTTCACATAAAAGACACCAGGAAGGTTTGGTGTTAAATTGCAGCAACAGCAGCGGCAGCGGCGGCAGCGGCGGCAGCGGCAGGCCCAGTCACTAGCTCAGTGTCCTGGCCAAGAACCAAGAATCCCTCTTAGTGTCCTGGCATCTGAGTGGCATCATTCGCCACTGATTTTTTGAGCTACAAATGCACAGTCCGGCGGGGCACGTGATAATCTCGCCTTTGTCGTGGAACAAAGGCAGACCGGAGTTTTCAGCCTGCACTGTAAGGGAGGGTTTACGAGTGCTTCCAATTACAGAAGCGAGGGGAGGTGGCACCGAGCGAGTCTGGGCCACACGTACATTCGGCTGACTAGTAATCCAAAATAAAGCCCGCCTACATCAGCACTAGTTCCTTTTGTTGTACAACCCAGAAGGCCATTAAACAAATACTGACTACAAAAGTCTAACCACAACAAAATTCTTGATCAAGTCAAATCCATTTATTGAGCATCGACTGTAACACTGATCCTGTCCAATTAAGAAATAGCACTCCCGCTAAAAGGTAAGCTTTACTATGGCAAATAACCTAGAACAGGGTGCCTGTTGGGATCTGGTTTGGGGTCCTTGTTCTATAATTCATACAAAGAGCTTTAGTATTGCAGGTGACTTTTTTTAAGAGCCCAGTGCTTCGATCAGAATCTAAGTGTCTTCTACACCATCAAAAAGGTATGGTAATTGCTAACATTCAACAAAACAAAACAAAAGCTCTACCAAGCTAGTTTTATTGGCTTAACTAAAATCTCTTAAAAAAAAAAAAAATCCCCACTGCTCCCCACCCCCGCCCGGGGGAAAAAATCTTCTTGGAAAGGCGCTGAGACCTGGGTGAGGGGCACCAGTCTGTTGGGGAGGCCCCGCCCTTCCCCCACGGGGGAATCGAGAAAGACTCGGAGTGCCGGCGACCCAGACAGACAATAGGGTACAGTTAATGCAGGCCACGGTGGGAAAGTCCGAGAGCCCCACACTCGCGCTGCGCTCCCAGATGAGCCTGGGCTCTGGGTGGATGTGGCCCAGTGACCCTGCGCTCTCAACTTTCGGGGATGTAAAACACCAGCCCAAGGTGATGAAAAGCCACCGGGTTACTCCCGCCCTCCCGGCTCCTTCCCAATCCCTGCCCCGGCACCCCTGGTCCCATTCAGAGCTCACACACTCGCTCTTGGGAGCGCAGTACTACTCCGGGTGCCGCTCTGGGGCTCTGGGGCGCGGGGGCGCGGGGGGTGAGGTCGGTTCTCGGAACAGACGATGTGGAAAGGGAGAGGCTGTGGCGGGGACCAGGACAAAGCATAGCGCAGACGGGACAGAAGCGTGGAGCGCGCCGCAGCCCCAGAACCGGTCCATCTAGGCTTCAGAGGTGACAGCGGACGGTGTGAACGGTTGCCCACCCAGAGCACAGCGTCCGACCAGGTCGCCACCTAGGCTTGGGTGTATCGAGGATGGGATGCAAACCAGAGTCACACCCGGGCTTCCTTGGGATCTCGAAGCCAGCCCCGCCGAGGTCAGGCGCTAGCAGCGCGCTTAGCGGGGGGCCGAGCCCTCTCTTTGTGTAGCCCGCGGGGTACCCAAGAGCGCCTAGTACGAGGAAGGGGCCAAGAGAGGGAGTTGGGGATGGGGTCCACAATGCTTTTCCTCGGCCAGTTACACAAAACTCCCAATTCTGGACCTCCTCGGCTTGGCATCTGAACTCGAGGTAAAGACCCCCATCTCCCGGGGGAGAGGCATCCGACCCTTAATGTCGCCAGGGCCTCACCTGCGTGGGTAGGAGCAGTGCCAGGAGCAGCAGCCCCAGCCCCAGCCTAGCCACCATAGCTCTGCCCATGTCCGCTCTATCGGCGCGCGGCGCGGTTCGCTGGAGGCCGGGTGTTCGAACGTCGGTCAGCTCGGGCGGGCGCAGGGAGGTGGGGAGCGCTGCGCCCGCGGGACCTTATATACCCCGGCAGCCACAATAGCGGTGACGCGCGCGCCCGCCCACCCGC